TAACTCACTGAAGAAAATGGTTAACGGTGGTTCAATTTCGTGGATTAGTTGAAGTTAGACATTAACATCATTGGATGCCGGCTCAATGGTCGAGTGGTTAAGCGCTCGCGCGCGAAACCTACAGGTCCTGGCCTCGAATCACGCTCCCGGGGTCGTGGATGCGCACTGTTCAGTAGTCCAGTAATGGGACGAAACATCCGTCCTGTTTTTCCGTGTTTTTCAAGGTCGTCTAGCTTCAGTGGACTCGTGAATTCAACTATTAAATCAATCAACAACTTATTGTATGAAAAAATATTTACAATAAAATAGATATAAGTAATTGTGTATGTTATACAAAAGCTGATTCTCAGGATTTGTGATTACGAGTCCAAAATGACTGGAAAAAAACCCGATAGCACATGTTATTTTCTATGAAAAAACTGGTTCCAAGTTACCATGTATCATTACCACCTACGCAAAGATGAACTGTATGTTTTGCCTCATAGTGTTTAGCACTAACTGTACAAAAAAAAATTGTGAAGTTCTAACAGTAAAACATATTTACTTACTTACATACTTACGCCTATTACTCACGATATAGCACAGGCCACTGTCCAGCATTCTCAAATACACTCTGTCATGGACTTTCCTTTCTATTTCTACTGAATTGTTATTCATTATTCTCATGTCTCCCTCCTCGTCCCAGCGTAATGTGTTCTTCGGTCTTCCTCCTCTCTTTTCAACTTGAGGATTCCATGTGACATACTTGACATGGAACGCAGTTGGGTTCTTTCCTCAATGTGTATCCTATCCACTTCCGGAACTTCTTCCTGATTTCTTCCTCAGTTAGTTTGTTCTGGTTTGTTCCCTCCCACAGTAGGTTGTTGCTAATCGTGTCCGGCCAACGGATCCGAATTATTTTACGTAGACAACTGTTAATAAACACTTGTATTTTCTGGATGATGGCTTTCGTAGTTCCCCAGGTTTCCATCCAATACAGTAGGACTGTTTTGACATTTGTATTGAAAATTCTGATTTCGGTGATTGTTGACAGTTGTTCTGAGTCCCAGATGTTCTTCAGTTGTAAATATACTGCTCTTACTTTTCTGTTCCGTGCATTCACATCTGCATCAGATCAACCGTGTTCATCAATGATGCTGCTTAAATATGTAAAGAATTTTACATCTTCCAAATCTTCTCCGTTAATTGTGATTTGACTGATGCATGCTGTGTTGTATCGGAGAATCTTGCTTTTCCCTCCTGGAACCACCGTGATGCTACAGCCGGTTCCATGCCCGGATGAAGGAAGAGGATTGGGCATGGGGTTAACGACCTCATCCCGTAGAAAACTAACTCGCTACAAAAACGCTTACCTGAAAGATAGCTCAAACCATAACATAATTAACGTTTCATATAACCATCTAGGTTTATTCATTATTGAACTATACACTCTCAAATGCACTGCAATTTCCGTGAAAGTTCTTAATGAACAAAACTGATAAAATAATTTGGAAATACTTATTGATTTGTATATCGAAGTTTCTAATCACACGATTAATTGACACTATGATTATTTTTAAGGCTTCATAGTGAATAATTTGAACCTTTTCACATGTAACCTTTCATTCCATGTTCATATAAAGTTTTCACATATCTTGACAACATAATGATCTTGTTTGTGACTGCAACGTTTGTATGCGTGTGTGCGTGCGTGCGTGTGTGTGTGTATGTGTAACAACAGTAAAAATCAATATGCTTGAAGAATGATGATTTTTCTTCTTTTTACCAATATTTATCCTCGAATTATCACAATTGATTGATCACTGGGTAGTGATCAATGTCATGCTTGTCTAGTCCTTATTAGTGCAGATCGAATGCAATCGATCATGTTGCAATGTGGCCACCAGTCTAGGTGACTCGACACTGCGGCTCGGATAGCTCAGTGGTAACGTCTCTAACTGTGAAGTTGGGTATCACGAGATCGAATCCATCAGGGAGCACCAGTTCCCTCAAGATTACAGGTACACCTTGTTGACGAGTGCCAAGTAGTACGAAAGCGGGGTCCAGGGTCTCCTGTTGACTACCTCCAACCATCATCTAATCCTCGGATTAATTTGTACCATATATATATTAATATTCGATCAATTACTTGAAAAAAGCTTAACGAATCAGTTGTCATATGATCATTCATATTTATATATTATTTTTAAAATACTCATTAAAATGTAACTAACCAAATTGATTTTGAGTATATTATTGAGGTTTCGTTGATATACTTATCGATTTTATTGATTTAAATGGAAAATTAATAATCAATATATTTTAATCATTAATCAATGAAGTATTATATATTAGTAGCTGTGTGCAATCTATCACGTGGTCGTTATGATGTACTGAGTCTGAGATATTTATTTATTTTATTGATTATTATTAGATAAGAGTGAGAAATATTGATTTAATTAACTATCCTATTGTTGTGGATTTATCTATCTAAATGACTCTTGTAAAAATGTTTAAATAGAGAAATAACAAAATAGGGGTCGTTAAACTCTGTTTTTTCCTTTCAGTTACTATGAGAAAACATCTCTATGTGAAATGTATAGGAAAATAGTATATTCTAAAATGTTTGTATCACTTCTGTATACCTTGATTTCAATAAAATTATGGTACCGAGTTATACATTATATACCATACTGTGATATGCGCTACTGATGTCTACATGAGTAGTATATAACGTTAGTCAGGAATAAAATAGCTGAAAGTAAAATGTTAAGAAGAAAGAGGAAGGAAGAATGGGAAGAGAAAGCGATCGGTATGCAAATATAGGAACAATAAAGTCTGATGGATATTTTGCAAATGAAGTGTATACAGTATGGTTCTTAGATTTTACTAAGACATAATGTAATTTTGTATTTGATTACATTCGATTGTCGTCACTTATGTTCTTCTTCATTACAATATTACTGTTACTTGCCTAGCTGCGCCATATTCGATTTGACTATTAGTTCGTCTTTGTATTTGCTCACATACTTACACACACATTCGCCTCTCTGCTTCAAATCCGCTCAGTGTGCTTGTAACTTTGTTGATTGTGCTATCTGTTAACAAACTGTAATCTCTGCTTCTTATTGCTTTCTGATTTCAAACACCGTAATGAATGAGAACACAAGCCTGGATGATCGAATGTATTTGAATACAAAAGTAAGGAATATTTTAGTAAAATCCACGAACCATACAATAAATACTTTATTTGCAAAATGTCAATCAATGGTTTCAGACTTCACTATTCCTTCATCTCTACACCAATGATTCTTTGTTCTCTTTCTCTTTCCTTGGATCTTCTTAACCTTCTACCATCAAGCATTTAACCTTCACGATTGATTGACCACTGGGTGGGGATCAATGTCATGTACTTCTTAGTGCAGATCGAATCCCATCGAACAAGTTGCGATTTGGCCACTTTTATAAATGGATTATGAAGACGTCAAGATCTGGGACGAGCATGGTATACAGTGGAAAGCGTGGATACAGCTGGAAGATCTGGGCTTCACAGATGATCTGGCTCTTCTATCGCACACGCAGAAACGAATGCAGGAGAAGACGAACAGTGAGTAGAACAATGAGTAGAACAAGAAAGGAAGGTCTAAGACAGAGTGTGTTTGAGAATGTTGGATGGTGGCCTATGCTCTATTGTGATTAACAGGCTTAAATAAGTAAGTAATGTGTTTGCCGATTCAGTAGTTCATTCTTAGGTTATTCAATGATTTCTTTGTAATTATAATCAAAGTCACCTCTTTTTAGAGGAGAAGTTTAATCTGTATCTCAGTGATGTATAAAATATGATAATAAATACTTTTAATTTCATCAAGAAATATGTCACGTAAATGACAATTTGTAATAGTGTGGTGTGTGCTACTGATGTCGACAGATATAAGTAGTATGTATCATCATCTGTATATAGACATTTAAATGTTAATTTCTTTAGTATTGAGTAAATGTGATTAACTGATATAGATGTATTCTATTAAATTATCTTTACTGTTTGTTAAATATCTTTGCCAATACCCAAACATCATAAAAATTAACTCATTATCACACTAACCTTTGTAGCATAACACACACTTAGTACTAAACAGCATGATTTCTAGTGGAAATCTCCTGACCATCACAATTTCATTTTATTCGAAGTGTATTTAGATTAGATAACCGATCTTCGTGAGTTTTCATCCACTCGATTTGTATCTATTATTAATGTGTACCAGTACGTAATCTTATTCACTTACCCCTGTTATCCGTTGTCTAGTAGCATAGACCACCCATCAAGATCCTCCAGCCATCTCATTCCTAGGCAATTATTTTCTTTCGTTTTTAATTGTTATTCATTCTTATGATGTCTGTTTCCAATGACCGATTCATTGGGTTCATTGGTCTGCCACTTTTATTTTTGCTTTCAGAACTCCAATTTGGGGCTGGCCTCGTAATGTTGTTTGATTTCAACACCTCCAGAGTGTTTTATGGACTTCTAATTCAGCTGAAGTTTAGTTCATTCTCTGCCATAGTGCGTTGTTGCTGATACATTTTCTGCCATCACCTGTATTTGTTTCTGTGTAAAGGATAGAAGAATGTGGTCACGTGTGAAGTCAAAACTACTTAACTGCATCCAAGCTATCAATTGTATTCCGTGCTTTCCCTGAGATATGGAGATCTTCATTATCCACTTGACTACCAGACGAAAGAGGGAGAGAGATAGAGAGAGAGTGGGCAACAATGTCTGATATAAGTCTTCAATTTGAATGTATGTGTATAAACTGTCTTTCACGCACGACTTTGCAATATAGGCCATGCGTAATTAATGTATTATTTGGCATGAATCTATGAAGTCAAATGTGTATATAAGCTAAATAATCGTCATTAATTTATTGATTAATAAACTTTCATAGTTATCAAGTGTATAGTTTATCAAATAATCGATTCAACTTCTTCCTTTTCATTGTTATTGGATCTAAAATGATATAAAAAACCCTGTGTAAAATATTTCCCTTATTGAACTGATTAATAATGATGTACTATGACATATTGTTATTCAGTACTGTTTTATTTTGTACTACTACATGGTCATTAAAACTGCCAAAAAATGTATCTATGGAAGTTAGTAACTTAAATAAAACACAAAACAATTCGAAATTGTTACATGGGATAATTATCTATTTACAATGTTTAAGATTGTATAGTGAAATAAATCAAAATGGTTACTGGTCTGATATATGTGATAGTAATGAACTACTTTCACCATATTTAATGATGACTACACAATCAATTTGTGCACCTGCTAATGTATGGTATAAAACACCAAGATATTGGCTTGCTTATCAGTAAGTTTATTAGATATGAGTCCCACTTTATCATGATAATATGCACAGAAATACTTATTATGTAATATTATATATTAGATAATATTAGATCCTCTATAAAATATGTCAATGATATTATTATAGCTTGTCTTATGCAACTTGATATTCATTATTGACATAATATTAATAATAATAATAATAATAATAATAATAATAATAATAATAATAATAATAATAATAATAACTTCAAGACTTCAAACTCATAGGAGCTTTTATAATCTATTGAAAAATATTGAGATAGAATACAGCCGACGATTTGATAACAATGTTGACCGAATTATTGAAAGCCATAATATTTTCAATGTTTGAAATCCAAAAGAAGAACTCTTATCCTAACAGATTCGTGAACGTAAAACTTAACATTAAAGTAAACATCCTGCTTTAGCTGAATTGAATTAAATTCGATCATACTGATTTTATTTACTTTATATCTAAATCAACTTCTTCTACTGAGCCTTAATAAAGTTAGTTAGATGAAGGTAATTGTAAATTATTTACTTCTTTCACTCACTTGAGTATTTTAGATTGATCATGTAGTTTAAACTTGGACGATCAATTGTATACGCATAACGCCAACAATGAAAACCAAATGAAACCCTGTTATTTATTAATCTTATATCAGTAAAACAATGTTAACACAATAGTAAATACTCAATGAAAACCTGAAAGCACTGGATGGCCGTTTCGTCCTAATATGCGACTCCTCAGCCTAGCTCAGCACCAACGGGACTGAAACCCAAAATTTTCGGTTTCGTCAGTGGGTACTTAACCTCTGGACCACGAAGCCGGCACAATAACCTCAAACAATCTACTAGTGACTGGCTTCAAGAAGAATTTCCTGGAGTCTTAGTGAGAAACCGCAGCCACTGGAGTTCACTTTGTCATTTGTTTGGCGGCTATTCACTGAACATAATGGTGGACGATGGCGCAACTTCACGGATTGGTCGAAGGTAGATATTAACACTGGTGAATGACAGCTTAGTGGTTTCGACGTTAAGCGTTGGTGCACCAGACCGAAGCTACTGGGTTCGAGTCCTCTTCGTGAGGGGTCGTGGAAACGCACTTCTAAGGGATCCTACACTAGAACGAAATGGCTATACTATATGTTCAGGCTTCAAACAGTGGTCTAACATTGATCCGTTCGTGATATCAATTGAAACCTAACAATCTCCACAAACTCATGCTGCTAAAGATCTAATGAATAAGGATGTGATAGTTTCAGAATGATATCTATAACAAACTCTTTCCAATCATCATTTTACTTCATGGTTTTATGTTATCGTAAAATTGTCCTAAAAATATGGATTAACCAAATCATACAATTTTTCTGTGAAAGTAGTAAGATTACTGAACCTTTGAGCAAAAGACGATAACCTCAAAGAAAAGGAAAATTGCAAATAGTTATATACTCTAATCATGAACTTGTGCGTGCATTATCTATTCTTTAAACATCTTCAAGTGCCTTATTCATTACCATATTTGAAATCATAGTCTGTAACTCATTTAAGTAGAGTTTATGGGGCTCTCATATTATGTTTACAGTCTAAACACATGTATTCTATTTTGTTTAACCATATCTACACTGCTCCGTAAAGCTAGAGAACAAATATTGTGCCTCATTATCTATGAAAAAGTAGTCTGCTGGAACCAAACATTTGTCAATATAAAGAAATGTCAAATCAATGTTAGCATAACTGAGTGTATATATTGCATTCTAACTAAGTACAGCTAAAACTCATTATGAAATCCTGGTTAAAGTAGGTTTTTGAGATTTTACCTGGTTTGCTTATTAAGAGTTATTTCTTTTGTTTCCATATGTGAGCGGTTATGTTTAGCTTAATTTGTTTCTAATTAACCAAATAAGAAAGTCTGATTGATGATAAGCTTTCAAAATACATGACTCCAGAAACAAATCAACTTATGGCAGACAATTTCGTTCGTTAATTGAGTAGATCAAATGACTCAGTTGTTCTTCAACTCATTAATTAAGCAAAAAATAGTTGAATCTGAATGGGTTATTCGGCACATCACAGAAGTTGAGCTTCAGTAATAACATGTACACATCCGTTTCATCACTTAATTAAGGCAACGAAAAGAGGTACTGAGCTTAGAATTTAAAAATCAGAAAGTGATTTCCGTGAGATGGTGGTTGGAGGTAGTCAACAGGTAAACCCTAGACCTAGGTTTCGGGCTACTTTGCACTCGCCAGCAAATTGTACTTGGGTAAACTGACGCTCCCTAACGGATTTAATTCCGTGTCACCCAGATTCACAGTCAGAGACGTTATCACTGAGTTATCAGGGCCGCGACCAACCTCCTGGAGGAATGGGATGTACTTTTAATTGATTGATCACTGGGTGGTGATCAGTGTCATGTATGTCGTGCCCTTCTTAGTGCAGATTGAATCGTATCGACCAAGTTGCAATGTGGCCACCAGTCTATGTGACTTGACATTGAAATTTGGTTGATATGATTCGATTTGCACTAAGAAGGACCTGACATACGTGACACAGATAACTACTCAGTGATCAATCAACTGTCAGGTGACTTCTATTTATAACACAGAATGCTGAAAAAATAAGAAGAATATTCTGTCGTCTGGTTTATCATTAAGTATTATTTGATTTGTATGTGAAGCTGATAGCAAGATATGAAAACCTAGATCACTTAGTTCAATAAACATATTCAGTCTTTACTAATTTTACTAATTTTCACTTTTTTTCTGTCTAGACAACCCTATTATAGTGGTTCATATATTCTACTTAAACCAGGTCAATGTGTAAAAAATGTTAGAGCATATGGTCTACTATCGATTGGTTCGATTCTTCAATGTGCACAAATTGCTTTATTTGGATACTTGCCTACACTCAACTGTTATTATCCACAACAACCATGGAGACAACTTGCTTCACTATCACCTATGCCACCGGTAATGCCACTTACACCTACACTAATAGTAACTCAACAAACAATGCCGCAGTTAAAGACAGGAACTGTTAGCTTACTGGATTTACAGAAAAGCAGTTTGAATATTACATAAAATTATTATTATACCGGAAAAAATGCTATCGAAACGTTTATAAATCAACTCATCAGAGAATTTTTTTGAAGGGCCAGTAAACAAACTGAGATAACCTGATTCAGTGTTATAACTGAGTGAGCTTTGATAGTAAAACTACATAAAACTGAACATACTTTTGACTAGATATTTTATAGGGCTCAAAGGTTCGAGTCCCGCGTGAGGGATTCTGGACGTGCATTAGTGAGGAGCCTCATACTAGTACAAATTGGTCGTTCAATGTGTCCGGGTCTTCAGTCGCGGTCTGACATTAATCGGTTCATGATCCAGAAATGAGAGAATCAGTTGACAGATCTGTATCATTTAAAAATCTTATTACATGTGTATAAAATATTATCTTGAAACAAACAATGTAGCTCATTCTCATTTTTGCATTGAATACTTTTGCATTTAACTTTTCTATAACTTATGATCGTTGTTAACAAACACATTATTGTTAGTATTGTACGAGTTGATTCTAGAACGTACATTTTAATAATTCATCACAGCGGAAAACTAATCTCTAGAAAAATAATACTATATCTGGCTCATTTGTTTTTCTTTATAGCTATTAACTGAATCCAGCTTATTCCCTTTGTACTGACGCAACATGTTCAATACTTCATCTTATTGTGGTCTTAAACTGTCATCCATATTCAATGATATACTGCTTATTACTTTCTCATGATTATGAACTTATATACATCAATTGATGATAAATAGGATTTATAACTATGGTGGATGATGTCACTAAAGAGTAAATTTTCTGTGTTCTATTATCTTCACTTCTTAATGATGCCATAGGTTTCTTTGTTATTTAAATTAACCGTTTATTTAGCAGGCGACTATTTCATCCTGGTATAAGAGCTTTTCAGCAGTGAGGATCCACAACGTTATCGGTGATCGGACCCAGACATTTTGGTCTCGTGTTAACACTTAATGTCTAGACCACTAAACCAGCTGTCCAGTGTTATTTTTCCTTAAAAACTGAAGTTAATTGATTACTATAATGTGCATAGAATATATAAGTAAATAGCATGTGTTCTTTAGAATTATTGAAATTTTATGAAAAATAGTGACATTATATCAATTTTAAATGACATTGGGGCTTGTTAGTGAGAAATAGTAATTCAGATAATACTACAATAACTGCATGTGAAGAATAAACTATCACTGAAGAAGAAGAAGACAAAACTTTCAGTTATATGACTATGATTAACATCGTCCGTTATGGATTTGATACATAAATCAGAAATTGAAGTATTTTGACATTAACTTCATACCATGGAACATAGGACTGAAAAAAATCAGTTGAAAGACGACATTAATTTATACGCACATGATTTATTTAGGTATGAATTAGGTACAAATTCTAGATTATTCAAATTGGCTAGAATATGGTAACAACAAAATGAGTGGTCTTATATATCACATACTACTATGTGCTTTTCCAGAATATTCTCAACCTGTATACCGTGCCTTCCCTCAGATGTGGAGATCTTCATTATCCACTCAACTACTAGAACAAAGAGGAAGGGTGAGAGTAAGCAGAATTGTCCGATAACGTTCTTTAACTGGAACGTATCTGCAAGCTGTTCTCTAAGCACTCCGCATGATGTTGGTGATTTTCTCAGGAACACTGTAGTACCAAAAATGGCTCAACAGGTTCCTTTCATCCATACTTTCAGATGATATCTTATGGTCAACAAAGTTTATGGATAGTGACGAGTTCATTTGAAATGATTGTTCAACAAGGATCCGTAGTGCCACGATTTGTCCTATGCACAATCGACCATTACGGATTCCGGCCTCATGATGATCTCGATGTAACGAGTCTGCTGAATCTTTATCCAGTTTAGCAACACTCTGTTGAAAATTTTTCCCGGTAGCGATGGTAGTGTGACGCCTCCGTACTTCTCACACATGCTCAAATCTCCCTTCTTTGATATCTTAATTAGGTATCGTTCATTCCAGTCCGTCGGCATTTGTTCTTTCGCCCAAATCTTCCCGAATCGAATGTGGAGCATGTTTTCAGTTGCTACTATGTATGAATTCACTGATTCGGCTGGTATGTTGTCAGGTCCTGACGATTTTCTCCTCTTGGTTTGTCTGATGGACATCCTGTTTTCCAGGATCGTTGATGTAGTGATATCTGTAGGGGAGTTTGTGTGTGCTGTTATGATGTCCGGTGGTATCAGTGAAGCTGATTTATTAAAGAGTGCCTCAAAGTGTTGCACTAATCTGTTCGTCTGTCCTTAAATCTCTGTGATTGTCTTGTCTTGTTTATCCTTGAGCTGCCTCTCTGGCTTACTACATTTTTCTCCCACGTACCTCTGCTTGTCGGCTTTAATATTCTTATCTTTTTGGTTGTTTGATTCTGAGTATTCTGCTTTTGACTTTACTTTCTTCGAATTACTCAACGATTGACGTGCATTCCCGGCTCATGACTGGTCGTTCTAGTCTACCACATTTGCCTGATAGTTTCTTTATTGTACCACATAGTTGACAATTGACTGCAGCCTATCGTAGAATTGATCTTTAACGTTTTCATTGTAATCGTTCCCAGGCGCACAGCATTGCATGACGTTCATTGTAATGCCCTCCTTTTTTGTTTTGAAGGAGGCTTTGATGATCCTGGGACCATCAGACTCACATCGTATAAGCACATTTCGTGCTTGTTTGGATAACATCGGTGAACCCCTTGTGTATATGCAGCATTTGTTTCTTCATAGCAATTGTGTTCAAACTGAAAATAAAGGTAGAAAATTGGAGTACAAAGAGATGTAGTCGTTCTCCGTTTACAAAGAATAAATGCTCCACAAACTTAGGGAGTTTCTCTGATCCTGTCCAATTAAGCACAAAATGCGCTTATAGGATGAGAATCTCATGAACTAAGTATCCCTAAAGTCTTCTTCAAAACAATGAGGGGGGAGGCGATACAATGAAAGTTATTCAAAGTTATGCACCAAACAATCATAACAATGGCGAAGACAAAGATCAGTTCTACTCGATGCTGCTACCGATCATAAAGAACTGCTCAGAAAAAAACCTGACCATCCTGAAGGGAGATTTTATTACCGAATTCGGAATGAGCAACACAGGAAATGAAGATATCATGGGATGACATGGACTAGGAGAAAGGAACAAAAGTTCAGAGACATTTGCAAATCTACATGCATTCAACCAATTGGTCATAGGTGGCACAATACTCCCAGGCAAACGCATATACAAAGCTACGCGGGGTTCGACGGACCACACCACGGAGAACTAGATAGATCACATTTGTATCAATAAAAAATTTGTATGCACATTGAGAGGTGTGAGCATCAGAATAAGAGCTAACATAAATTCAGATCAAAGGAGAGGGAAGTGCCATAGAGAACAACTAGAAAGGAATCAAGGAGGCAATCACTTCAACATGCCATGAGGTTCTGGGCCACAAGAAGCACAACCACAAAGAGTGGATCACTGGATATGACTGGAGAAAGGAGGAACAAGAAAACAGCAAACAATAACAACCAAACAATAGGAGAGAAAACCAGGGAACAAGCCGGATACCCAGAAGTAAACAAGCAGGTGAAGACGAGCATCAGAACCGACAAATGTGAATATGCGGAATATCTAGCAATGACGGCAGCAAAGGCTGGCCAAGAAGGACACATGAGATTATTGTATGACACAACAACAAAACTTGCTGGAGTTTGTCATAGCCCAGAACGACCACTGAAAAGCAAAAAAGGCGAAGTAATCACCAGCATTGAAGAACAGCGAAGCAGGGGAGTAGAGCACTTGAAAGAAGTCTTGGATCGATCAGACCAACTGAACACACACAACATCCAGGAACCACCTACAGAACTCTCAATCAATGTTGGCCACCAACAATCGAAGAGATCAGCATGGCCATCAGACAGTGCGACCAGACAGAATTCCATCAGAGGCACTGAAAACGAACATAGCATGCATCAATCCAATCACAATTAACGGTGAGGCTTTGGAAGATGTAAAACTCTTTACATATTTGGGCAGCATCATTGATGAAAACGGTGGATCTGATGCAGATGTGAAGGTGTGGATCGGAAAAGCAAGAGGAGAGTATTTTAAAATGAAGAACATCTCGAACTCAGAAAACCTGTCAATAAACACTGAAATCAGAATGGATAAAGACTAACGTGAATGATCTCATCGAAAAAAGAATGTTGATGGTGTATTTCTCTTTATTTTATATTCCATAAGTCACCGAACACGAAAGGTCGCTAAATGCATTCAATATATCTATGCAAAACGCAACATAAGCTATGAAACTGTTGAAATTCGAACGAATCCAATGAATAAATTATTATTCACATTAGAGAAGATCAGTCGTTAGATAGATAAGCGTACATCTTTTCTCACAAACTGAATTGGTATTCAGTCCGCGTTCTACTACATTGCGCATAGTTGAAAGTGAATGAAAATGACAGTCAATTGATTGAATGAAGTAGCTTGATCATCATGGCAGTCAGTTCTGCAATGACACTGAAATAGATTAAAATAATATAGAACTACGCTGACTACCACAAATCACGTTCCTGTTGTCAGATCTCAGTATTCGTTGACGGTGGGCGCTTGGTTCGGAATACATCTGAAGTACTATTCAGGGAATAATGGTGTGTGAGCAAGATTCGAGAGATAAATGTTGATGCGACGTGTGTCAACATGATAATTGCAAACGTATTCAACTTCCAGTTTAGTTCGCATTTTCGACCCTGGAAGTTAGACATTGGTCAGTAAAATTGCATATCCTATTTGAATGAATTGGTTATTTTACGAAATATATAGGCTTTCGTTTTATGCCTGATTCACTTCTCATAATTTGCAATTTCGAAGAAAACGTAATGACACTTAGGGTGTGGTAGGCTACTGTCATCACTATGGATTCCCAGAACCGTGTTTTTACCCTTTCATGAAAATCTCAATGAACGTGTCTCGTTTCGGCGTATATTTGAGTAGGTTCGCAGAATAAATCATTTGTGTGACACCATTTATTTGTTTTTTACATATTTCAAAAACCTGAAACCACCAACTCGTACCACATGCTCAAAATATATCAACCATTCACAACTGACCTTTGAGATTTCTAGGAGGGAATATATATTATTTTGTACTGAAAACAGACCCTAAGCTATTGCGCAGCTAAATTAAGTGAGTTGAACGTAATCATTGTACTCCACTATTCTACCTCGATGTTTAAATTGAACACAACTGCATTTACCTGATTGCTTGTGCGTTGTGTTTGTGTTAGTCACCTATAAATTCGTGTGTCTTTACACACTAATCTGAATCGCAGTCGCGAACAAACTGCGTAGTGTTTCGGTTGATTGGTCTTCTCTATCACCCTCTCTCTCTCTCTCTCACCCCATCGCTTGTCAACCAGTCACATGGTTGACTATCTTTCGTCTGTCTACACAGAGAAGTTAATCTCGATCCAGACTCACGCTTTTCGAGCCTCAACGGTGAACTAACAGGCCTATCGTGTTAATGCCTCATCGGAGATCGACAAAAGTTCTCTCCAATTTACTACCGCCACAGACAGATCAGGCACGTGACAGAAGCTAATCAAACAAATATTCTGATCTCTGTGCTTTGTACTGTTCAGAACTGTGCTACCCTCATTCGTTATTTATCTTTATACGCTCAGTCACAAAAGTCACGAAATGTTGGAAATTCAACTACCAACTCATGAAATGAGTGCAAGCATATTGTTTGTGATATTGGAACATATATTGTCTGAATTTGA